GAAGGAGGGATGGGGGGCATGTATTCCAGCCAACGAAGAACCTGCACCCCACCCCCTACTGCAGTTCCTAAAGCCTGGGTGGAGCCCCGCCCCTGCCTCCCTCCTGCTGTGCCACTGGGGCCAAGCCCACTCACCTCACAGGGCCTCACTTCTCCCGACTGTAAAATGGGCTCATGCTTTGATCTGCTCTGCCTTCTCCCCTAGGTGAGTGTGCCTATGAAATAACATAATGGGGGCAGCGTGATCCCATCATTAAGCAATTCATTCCTAATTTCCTTATTCATCCTGAGTGTTTCCTAAGGGGAAGATGACTCACTCTCGAGTTCAGCCCCCACTCCCTGCCCCGGAGCACTGCGGTGGGGTGCAGACTGCCCCGTTCATCCCAGGAATTGTCCCTTCCCTTGTTCAGGGGCTCATCTGTCACCTGTTAATCCAGGAACGTTACCTGAGCCTCCTGGGCGCTCAGGGCAGGGCTGCAGACCCAGGGGAGAGCGCAACACCCTCGCCGCCCTGCTGATCTCCTTACTTTAAAACCAGACAGAAAGAAAGCGTTAATTATTATTTTGAGTAATAATTATATTGGTGCTACAAAGGAGCTGGGGAGCTTTGGTGGGGTATGGCTAGGTTTGCTGCCAAAGGAATTCTCGCCCTCGGGCCTGGGAAATAGGGTAAGAATTTCTTTCCTCGCCTGCTTATTTACTCTTTTCAAGAGCAGGCTCCAAGCAGGCAGCTGGCAACCACTGGCTCTGTGTTGGCGAGTTCCTCACCAGAGGGTAGGCGGGGCAGCCACACACCCACAGAGATGGAGAGAGAGAAGGGACGCTGTGGAGGCTCAGATGAGGCCCTTTGTCCGAGTTTATTGCAGTGGGCATGGTCTGAGAGGGCTTCCTGGAGGAGGTGTCATGTGACTTGATCACTGATCAATAGGTACGATATTACCGGGTGAAGAAATGGAGGGAGGACATCCAGAGAGTCCTTTTATTCTATTCCTCACCCATAATGACAGTACACTTGAGCACTGGAGAAACAGCCGCTGTGTGTGGGTACCGCATAACTCACTGAGGCGATGTTATGTGTATAGCTACTTAATTTGTGGGCCCAGTGAACAGTGAAAATGCAGTCTCACGTTAAAAAAAAAAGCATTAAGAATTTGAAAATGGGTCTAGCATCTGCCAAAGTCAACTTCAAATGCAGATATACTTGAAGTGATATTCTTTAATATCACTGGTGTTCATTTTTTTTTTAACATTAAGATACCTCAATTTACACCCCCCCAAAAAGAGAATTTGAAGATGGGACTTGCCCTGTGGTCCAGTGGTTAAGAATCCAGCTTGCAATGTAGGGGACACCAGTTTGACCCCTGGTTGGTGAACTAAGATCCCACATTCCACGGAGAACTAAGCCCTGCACGGCAACTATACAGCGGTACTTCCTAGAGCCCGTGTGCCGCAACTAAGGAGTCTGAGCACTGCAACCAAAGACCCTGCCTGCCGCAACTAAGACCTGAAGCAGACAACTACTAATAATGATATATATGCATATATATAAAGACTTTGAAGGTGGTCTGTATGCTCGGTCCCTTGGTCCCGTCAGACTCTTTGTGACCCGGTGGCCTGTAGCCCGCCAGGCTCCTCTGTCCATGGTATTCTCCAGGCAAGAGTACTGGGGTGGGTTGCCATTTCCTCCTCCAAGGGATCTTCCCAACCTAAGGATCCAACTGGTGTCTTTTGTGTCTCCTGCATTGCAGGTGGATTCTTTACCACTAGCACAACCTGGGAATACATCTGCGTGCTAGGTCACCTACAATTCAGATGCAAACGCTGATGTGTTGTAACTAGGGAGGAGGGCACGGGGCGGGGGGTATTTTGAACCTTGACACACACTGTGCGACGCTGGACCTCCAGTTGGACCCGGAATCTGTTTGCCCTGTCCTTCCCCCGCAACCCCGCCCGTGTCCTGAGCCTGCCCCCGCATCTGTCTTTATATTAATAATAATATACAAGTGCCCAGCACACAGGAATCAGACAAGGGATGAGCAGAGGAGATTCTGGGGAAACAGGGTATTTCATTCCCTGGAAGCAGGCCAGGGGTGGGGTGGGGTGAACTTTGTGTCTGAGTTGGGCGTTCTTTCATTACTGAGTCAACCATAAGTAAAGTGAAAATTAGCTAATGTTTATCTGTGCTGTGCCTAGTCGCTCAGTCGTATCAGACACTTTGTGACCCCATGGACTGTAGCCGGCAAGGCTCCTCTGTCCTTGGGGATTCCCCAGGCAAGAATACTGGAGCAGGTTGCCATGCCCTTCTCCAGGGCATCTTCCCAACCCAGGGATCGAACCCAGACATCCCACACTGTGGGCAGATTCTTTACCATCTGAGCCGCCAGGGAAGCCCACTAAAGAGTGTTTATCTGCTGACTCCTTACTCTGCCAGGCAAGCCCTCGCACTCCTGACTTGCCCCAAAGCTGGAGGAATCCTGGGTCTATGAAGGGGTCCTATTTTGTGGGAACTTGCAAGGGTCAAGGGTTTAAGTTGTTGTTTTTTTGCCTTGCCATGCAGCATGTGGGATCTTAGTTCCCCAAGCAGGGATTGAACTCGCGCCCCCTACAGTGGAACCTGAGTCTTAACCACAGGACCACCAAGGAAGTCCAAAGGTTTAAGTTTTACGAAGAGCCTTCTGAGGAATGGATACACAAAATGTGGTCTATTCATGCAATGGAATATTACTCAGCCTTAAAAAAAAGAGGAAACTGTGACACCTGCCATGACAGGAGTAAACATTATGCTAAATGAAATATGCCAGTCACAAGAGACAAGTACGGTATGATTCCACTTACATGAAGTGCCTAGAATATTCAAATTCACAGGCAGAAAGTAGAATGGGGGCTGCCAGGGGTTGGCGGCAGGGGGAACAAGGGAGTCGAGTGTGGGTGGTTTCAGTTTTGCAAGATAAGGAGTGTTTTAGAGACGGACGGTGGTGATGGTTTGCACAACAATGTGAATGTACTCAATGCCATCCAACTTTTTTTTTTTTTTGGCTGTGCTGCGTGGCTTGTGGGATCTTAGTTCCCCCATCGGGGATCGAAACCATGCCCCTGAAGTGGAAGCGTGGAGTCTTGCCCACTGGATCGCCAGGGAAGTCCTTTAGATTCATTTCCTAAGACCGTACAAAACTGGGACGAAAGCAAGTTTCTTTGCTGGGGGGAGGGGCAAAACATTCTCCTCTGTCCAGCTCAAAGTCTGAAATGCCTCTTAAAAAATCCAAGTGGAGACGTCGAGTGGGCAATCGGAAGTGAGTGAGAACAAAGTTCAGCAGGAAAAACTCCGGTGTGGCTGGAACCCACTGGGCAAAAGGGGAGCGGTGGGCCAAGGTCCGTGAGGCCACAATGAGGAGGGCGGTTTTCACCCGCTCTCGGACAGGAGGTTCTGACTCAGCCACTGACCACTTGTGAAACCAGGGGGAAAGCGTCCGTCTGGTGAACGCTAGTCACGCGCCAGCCACTGTCTCACCCCGTCTGCGCACCAGCCCAGGAGGTGGAGGCGGAGGTGGGGGCGAGGGGCGTGTCCGCCTCACCCTTCCCGAGGACATGAGGTGTGGCCCCGGGCGATGATTGAGCCCGGGGTCCGCGCGGCTCCCGGCCCGGCCTCAGTCTTCGGCCCGTCTTGTGCATCTCCATTCCGGGTCTGAGATGCGGAGGCTGTGGCCGGTCCCCGGAGGCCAGTCGAGACCTTGCAAACAGCCCCCTCCCCGACTCAAAGGCGGGGAGACAAACGGAGGCCAGGACCCGCGCGCCAGACTCACAAGGCAGAGCAGGGAGCCCCGGCCAGCCCCCGGACCGCGGCCCCCCGAGGCCCGCCGCCGCGTGGCCAACTCGGACCCCGCGCGTCCGCACGGGGCGGGGAGGGAGGGTGACGCGCGGCCCGTTGTCAAGGAGACGCAGCAGCGCGTCTGATTGGCGCGGAGCTCCGGCTCGGGCCCCTCCTCCCTGCCGGCCCACTTCTGGGCTGCAGGGGCCCCGTTTCCGGACGGCCGCTCCGGTTTCCACGGCAACGCCGCCCTGGCTCCTCCTCCCTCGGCTCGCTGGCTCTGCCCTTCGGCGCATATGCGCCTGCCCGGGGTCGGGTGGGGTGGGGAGGTGCCCGCCCGCGCTCGGGCCCGGGCGAAGACCCGTGTGCGTGCGTTGTGGGAAATGTAGTCCAAAACCCTGGCGGCGCCTCGATGCATCTTGGGAAATGTAGTTCTGGCGTCGGCGGCACCTTCCGAGGACAGGCGTGAGGGGGGGGTCGCCAAGGCGAGGGCCAATGAGAGGCCGCCTTTGCCGCGGTGCTCCCTGGGAGATGTTGTTTTGGGTGAGGGCGGCGGGCTAGTTGCGGCGGGGGCGGGGGGAAGCGGCCGGTGAGCGTCTGGGAAGGTTGTGGGGAGGGGGATAGGCGCGTTTGGCGCAAAGCCTGCCGGGGCATGGAGTCCTGGTGAGCGCTGTGCGCATGCGCGAGGTGGCGAGGGGGCTTGGGGGGCCTCGCCCGAGAGAGTGAGGTGAGCGAGGGGGGCTAGGAGGGAGGCGTCGGAGGGGGCCGGCGTGCGGGGGCGGGGGCTGGGCCCTGCCTGCGAGTCTGGGGGCGCCGGCGGGGACGGACCGGGTCGGAGAGGTTTGCGGAAAGGGGCTCCTGGGAGGGGGCGGGCCTCCGGCGCGCGGGTCTCTGTACGTTGGGCGGCACTTCGGCGGAGCTGCGCCTCCCCCGGGCCGGGGTCAGCGGCCCTCCTCCTTTCTCTTCTCCTCGGGAACGCGTGCCCCCCACCCTCCCCCCCGGCAGCTTGGCTGCTGGGCGCGCCGCGCTGCTGGGCTGTGTTTGGTCTCCTGGTCGTCCACGGCGGCCCCGCCGCCCGCCTTCCCTTTCCCCTTTCAGCCCCTGCTCCCGCGGGTGCTTGGGTGCAGCGCCGGCGCTTCTGTTGGAAGCTGTGTCCCCGGCACCGCACAAAGTGACGGGAGTGGGCAGGGCGGACGCCGGTGGGAGGCTGGCTTGGCGCCGCCTCGCGCGCCTCGCAGCATCTTTGTTTTCCCTACGTCTTGACTTCCTGAGACGCCTGGGTTGGCCTGCCTTTCCCCATTTTGCAGCCCCGGGGAGGGAAGACTCACAGCGTAAAAGGTGGCGTGTCTTGTCCTAGGACGACTCGCTGGGAAGGTGGCCCTTTGGTCTGAGTAAATATTAGTCCAGTGGACTGGTGGCTCCCCAGCAGGGACCACTGCGCCCCTGCCCCCGCCGCAGGGGGACTCTTGGAAGTCTCCAGGTCACATTCTTGGTTGTCACAGGTGGGGAGACACTGTTGGCATCTGGGTGAAAGAGGCCGTAAAACATTGGCCTAGTTAAAACTGGTAGCCAGGCAGGCAAGCTCCATCCAGAGCCTTGTCTCATTTATTTTTTTCCGTCTTTTTAAAAAGCATTTTATTTTTTAACTTCTTTTATAATGTTTTTCTTTTTAATTGAAGCATAATTGCTTTTCGATATTGTGTTGGTTTCTGCCACGCCGGCGTGTGTCAGCCATAGGTACGCATATGGCCCCTGTCTCTCCAACCTCCCTCCCCCTTTTTTGCTTTTTTTTTAAAAGTTAACTTATGGAAGTTTAGTTGATTCACAGTGGTCGTTTCTCCTGTCCAGCAAAGTGATTTAGTTATACACTAATGCATTCTTGTTTCACAGTCTCTGCCATGCTGGTTCATCGCAGGATTGATGATGAACCGTATCCTGACGGACTGGGATCCTGTGCCGTGCAGTAGAACCTTGTCTGTCTGTCCTGTGTGTAGCAGTTTGTGTCTGCTAATCCCGAACTCCCACTCTGTCCCTCGGCTCCTCCTCCTCGTTGGAAAAAAGATGGAAAAAAATAAATGAGGCAAGGCTCTGGATGGAGCTTGCCTGCCTGGCTACCAGTTTTAACTTGGCCAATGTTTTGCAGCGTCTTTCACCCACATCCCAGCTCCTCCGCTCCTTCTCCTTGACAGCCACGCTTTAAGGCCAGTGTGAGTCCAGTCCCTGCCACTTATTAGCTGGCTGATTAAACCAGCTTAAGTCTGAGAAGGTCCTCCGTACACAGCAGATGGGCACAGCTGTGCGCCAGTAAAACTTTTGTTTGAAAACAGACTATGGGCCAGTGGTCTCAAAGGTTTTAAGCTCAGGACCCCTTTATACCTTAAAACAATTTTTGAAGACGCTCCCCAAAGCACTTTGTTTACATCTCTGTGTCGTCTCAGAAACTAAGGCTGAGAAAATCTCATAAGTAGTAATGCATTTAGAAATAGCAGCAGTTGACTTTTCCACGTTAACATAAATAACACTTTTTTCTCTGAACTTTTTTTTTTTAATTGGAGTATAGTTGATTTAGGGCTTCCCTGGTGGCTCAGCTGGTAAATAATCTGCCCACAATGCGGGAGACCTGGGTTCGATCCCTGGGTTGGGAAGATCCCCTGGAGAAGGAAACGGCTTCCCACTGCAGTATTCTGGCCTGGAGAATTCCATGGACTGTATAGTCCATGCAGTGGCAAAGAGTCTGACACAACTGAACGACTCACTTTCATGCTTTATTTAAGGGCTTTCCCAGGTGGCACTAGTTGTAAAGAACCCATCTGCCGATGAAGGAGACTTCAACCCACTCCAGTATTCTTGCCTGGAGAATTCCATGGACAGAGGAGCCTGGTGGGCTACAGTACATGGGGTCCGGAAGAGTCAGACACGCCTGAAGCAACTTAACATGCACCCACGGATAGTTGATTTGCACTATTGTTTCTGCTGTAGGGCAAAGTGAACCAGCCACACACGTACATGCCCACTCCTTGATAGATTCTAGTCGTATATAGGTCCTTCCGGGGTATTGAGTAGGGGTCCCCGTGCTATTCACGAGGTTCGTGTCAGTTCTCTGTTCTCTGTGTGGTGGTGTGTATGTGTCGATCCTAGTCTCCCAGTTTCTCCCATGCCCCATAACGGTTTTTAAATGAAGAAGAACCGTGTTTTCCACAATGAAAAGTTGGAAGCATGGCACCACTTGTCTTAGCACATCTCAGCGTGACCCCGAAAAGCCGGGTTCCCACGGCCGCCTCTGCTGTCTGCCGAGGCCCCAGGAAGGCCCACCGCATGCTCGGGGGAGAAGGAGGCGGGGAAGGGGGCTGGTACCTTCTCTGGGTCAGGAAGCGCGTTCTCACCTTGAGGTACCCCGGAAGGAACTCCAGGGTCCCCGGACCATTTGAGGACCGTGGTTCCGGGTGGGGTTTATTTGGGGGCTGCGTCCTCTGCTGGGGTGGGGGCCGTTCTGGGCCCTGCAGGGTCCCCCGCAGCATCCCCAGCCTCCACTGGCTGGATGCTAGCCATACGGCTGTCTGCACCCCCATCTGATGGTCAGAACTGTCTGCAGACCCTCTCAGATCACCCCTGCCCAGCAGCACTTGCTCTGGGTCTGCAGTCCTCGGGACTGAGGCCGCTGCCAGTCTGTCCCCCCCCCCTTGGGAAGGGGGAGAGGAAGTGGGGGGCACAGGGCTCCCTGGGCGGGAACACTGGAGTGGGTTGCCATTTCCTACTCCAGGGGCTCTTCCCCACCGAGGGATCGGACCCGGGTCTCCCGTGTCTCCTGCATTGGCAGGCAGATTCTTGACCACTGAGCTGCCTGGGAAGACAGTCCAGTGACACCACTGGGAGAGTGGAGGGTCTTGCAGTCAGCCCTCCACATCGACCAGCTCCCAGACTGTGCCTGGGGGGCCCGTGAGTGTCGAGACCTGATCACCACAGACCAGGCGGCTACAGCCACAGACACTTGCTCCTCGTGGTTGGGGAGGCGGGGGTCCGGCTGGGATCAGTGAAGATGGACAGGGGTCTGGTGGGGGCCTCTGCCCGCCCACGGACCCTGCCTTCCCTTCCCGCTGTGTCCTCCTAGGTCAGGGCCGGAGCTGCCATGTCCTGTGAAGACAGCCATGCCCTGGGCCCCACCCCGAGGACCTCACTTCACCCCCACGTCCTCCTCAAAGCCCTGGCCCCGCGTACAGTCACGTTGGGGGTCCGAGAGTCCACATGAACCCCTGGGGTGGAGGGGGACACGTCTGTGTCCACCCTGGTTAGTGAGGGAGAGGAAAGGCCGGGAGCACTTGGGAGCCGGTGTCAGGGAGCGTCCGCCTCCGGGTTGCGGCATCTCAGTGAGACCACCGGCATCGGAGGTGCTGATGACAAGGCCCAGGTGCCCAGGCGCCTTCGAAGGGCCGGTGGCCTCCGTGCGCGCGGCCTCGCTGGGTCCTTGCGGGGAGGACGCAGGAGGCGGGGAGAGTGGGGACAGCCCGCCCATACGTGGCGGGCAAGCCCTTCATGGGGGGGGCGGAGCAGCCCTCCCCCGTGGAGGCCCCGCAGGAGGGCGCTCTGACCGCAGCCTCTCCCCGAAGGCGTTGTGACCCCACCGTCGGCCCCATGGAGGCGCCAGGACTGGGCCCCGTGAAGCAGGAGCGAGGTGCCGCCGAGGGTCTGACCACCGACTCGCCGTGGCACCGTTTCCGCCACTTCCACCTGGGCGACGCCCCGGGGCCCCGCGAGGCGCTGGGGCTGCTGCGCGCGCTCTGCCGGGCCTGGCTGCGGCCCGAGGTGCGCACCAAGGAGCAGATGCTGGAGCTGCTGGTGCTCGAGCAGTTCCTGAGCGCGCTGCCCGCCGAGGTGCAGGCCTGGGTGTGCAGCCGCCGGCCGCAGAGCGGCGAGGAGGCCGTGGCGCTGCTGGAGGAGCTGTGGGTGAGCCCGGGGTCCGCCCTTGGACCCTGAGGTCCAGGGTGTGGGTGCGACGGGGGGTGGCCGTGAGGGTCGGTGCACAGGCACCCTTCAGTAAACTGCGGGAAACTGTCAAGGACAGAGGAGCCTATCGGGCTGCAGGCCGTGGGGTCGCAGAGTCGGACACGACTAACCACCACCCCGGCCCACCCTCCTGACGACTCTGAAAGTTCAGGGTTCGGGACCACCCTGAGGGCTGGCCCTGCCCTGCCAGTGGCTGTGGTTGGTCCCAGCCGAAGGACACGGGTTAACTGCTACAGAGGGGCAGCGGGGAGAGGCCAGGAGGGTCCTCCCGGGACCCAGGGGGCAGCACCAGCCCCGGGCGACAGCATGTGGCGGGAAAAACAGGAGCGCCAGCCGGAGTGTCCCCGGGCCTCCCACCAGGAGGTGCGGCCGGGCAAGCGCAGAGGCCCCTCTCTGGGCCAAGCCGGGCCCCGCTGCGCCCGGAGGGTCGGCCCCGTAGCTTCGGGGCTGTAGTGTGACTGTTCTCCTGTGCACTTGAGAGGTGGCCCTGCAGCAGAGCTGTCCGCGTGGTTCTCCGGGCACGAATATTGCAGGGGCCGGCCGTTTCCTACTCCCAAGGATCTTCCCGACCCAGCGGTCCAACCCTTGTCTCCTGTGTCTCCTGCATTGGCAGGCAGATTCTTGACCACTGAGCCACCCGAGAAGACAGTCCAGTGACTCCACTGGGAGGTCGACCAGGCCTTTCCAGGAGAAGTGACTCCACCCAGACTCCTCGAGGAGCCGTGACAAGAGCGTAAAGGAGCCAGAGGTGGTGGCTCTGAAGCTGGCGCTCTCAACCATGGACCTCTGGCCGGGCCACGCTGCTCAGAACCGTCCACGGAAGAGCTGGGAAAAGCTCCTTAATTTGGCCCTGAGTTGAAAGTAGCCTGTGCGTTTTCCTTCTGCATTTTCTTGGAGCTGGCACAGGGCATCGAAGCTAAAGACAGGGTTAAAGCAGCTCCATCAGTGGTCTGTCTGCCTAGGAGCAAACTACCCGAAGCGCAGTAGCTCAGAGCAGTAAACGGTCATGGTCTCCGCCGGCCCCGTGGGTCAGGAGTGTGGGGCGGCTGCTGGGGGCTGGAGGGCCTGCTGCAGAGGTGCTCCATAGGAGGACGGTGGGAGGCCTCAGTCCTCGCCAGGTGGGCCTCTCCACGGGCCGGTCCCTGGAGGACCAGCAGACAGTGCCCCCGCCCGGCAGCCGCTGCCCCCAGAGCCGGCGGCAGGACCTGGAGGGCGGGCGGCAGGGCTCTGGCTTCTCAGCTGGCCATGTGGGGTCTCTGGTTCCAGGGACCAGCGACGAGGGCGCCTCAGGATGCAACTGGAGGCTCCGGGGTCGGCTCAGTAGAGGAAGCTGGTGAGGCGACACCCTCAGGTGAGCAGCCCCTCCTTCCACACCGCGTTCCCACGCTCCTTCAGTGGACTGACCCCACACGCCGGACCCCGCCCCGGAGGGCCCGGCACACAGGGGCGGGGGTCAGACAGCACGGGAGCGCCGGCAGTGCTGACATCCCGCGGCCGCCTTGAGACCCCGGGGTCACCAGCCCTTCCCCAGCAGGAGCCTCGGCACAGAAGAGAATAACCCACCCGGGACGGGCGCCTGCCGAGCCAGGGTTGCGTCCCCGCAGCCTGACCCCAGGCTCTGCACCCTGCTTCTCAGCAGGCGCCTCCTTGGCAGCTTCCGTCCATCCTCTCACAGCTTGTTCTTCCCCACCCGCTGACCCATCCGTCGGTCCCCCCGCCCGCCCCCCATCCATCATCCAGTCTGTCCACCCACACCCCCATCCACCCATCAGCTCCTCTGTCCTACCACCATCCGTAAACCATCCTATCTCCCCATCCTTGAACCAGTCTGCCCACTGCCCCATCCATCAACCGGTCCGTCCACTCCCCATCCATGAATGAGGCCGTCCCCCCGCCCATCTTCCAGTCCATCCACCACCCAGCTTGCCCTTTCCCACCCATCCACCCATCAGCCGGTCCGTCCACGCCCATCCATGAACGAGGCCATCCCCCACTCATCAAACAGTCCGTGCACCGACCCAGCTTGTGCATCCCCAGTGCCCCCGCATCCCCCCGCACATCCATCCAGGCTGTGCCCATGAACCACCCGGTTCCCCACATCCACGAACCAGTCCATGGCCGCCCTGATTCTGCGCCTTTTGCTTGCAGGAGATGCGGCCCCTGGGGCTGAGGAACCGGCGACGGCGGATGCCCAGGCCACGCGCCCCTATAAGCAGGAGCCGGGCAGTCCCCCGCAGGCACCGCCGGCCCCGCCGGCGCCTGGCCTGCCCGCCTTCCTGGCGGCCCCGGGCACCGCGTCCTGCCCGGAGTGCGGCAAGTCCTCGCTGAAGCCGGCACACCTGCTGCGCCACCGGCAGAGCCACTCCGGCGAGAAGCCGCACGCCTGCCCCGAGTGCGGCAAGGCCTTCCGGCGCAAGGAGCACCTGCGGCGCCACCGCGGCACACACCCTGGCGGCCCGGGCCCGGCCCTGCGTCCGCTGCCCGCGCGCGAGAAGCCGCACGCCTGCTGCGAGTGCGGCAAGACCTTCTACTGGCGCGAGCACCTGGTGCGCCACCGCAAGACGCACTCGGGTGCGCGGCCCTTCGCCTGCTGGCAGTGTGGCAAGGGCTTCGGGCGCCGCGAGCACGTGCTCCGCCACCAGCGCACCCACGGGCGGGCGGCCGGCGCAAGTGGCGCCGCCCCAGGCCCCGAGGGCGCCACGCCCTTCCCGCCCTGGCCGCTGGGGTAGCGCCAGCCACGCACCTGCTGCCCCAGCCCCGCATCCGCACTCCGGTGCCCGAGCCCTGTCGCGTGATGCCCCGAACCTCACTTTCCGGGTCAGCCCTCGCCCCGCCCTCGTGGCCTCTGCTGTGCGGGGGCGTCTCTGTGGCCCTCCCCACCCCCGTCCTCCCGGGCCCGGAACCCAGACAAGGAGTTGGGCAGGGGCAGGGCTCCGGGCTGGAGGAGGCCGGAGGGAGGGGACTGGGCCTTGTCCCGCCTGGGGAGACGACCCCCTGCCCCTCCCAGGACGGATGGATTGCGCCACGGCTCCACCAGGACGGGCCGTGTTCCGGCAGGGGGGATCCGAGGTCTGGCTCCTCCGCTCTGCGACTGCCCTATCAGGCAGGCCCGAGGTGGACAAGCGCCTGCTCCTGGGATGCGCGCCGGAGATGGCCGCTGACCAGCATCTGGAGAGTGTTAATAAAGCCGCTGATGAATTGTGCAGATCCCGGCTACTGCCTTCTGTCCGAGCTGCCATCCGGGGAGGGGCGTGGTGGGCCCCACCGGGGACCCTCCCGGCTGGCAGGGCCCTGGGAGTCTGGGCGCAGCCCAGGGCCCAGTTCCTTGCCCTTGAGCCTAGAGACTCGATGAGTCCTTGAAAGGTGACAGGGTGAGTTGCCCTGGGCTCCCACGCATCCAGTGCCCGAGCCTGGCCGGGCTTCTGCTGGTAGAATCCCTCACAGTCACCACCCTCGGGTCGCTGCGCCAGCCCCTAGACCAGAAGACCCAGGCCACAGGCTCTACCATCTGGCTGCGAGGGGGTCTGGGAAAGCGACTAGCTGTGCCCCCAGACTTTTACAGCCAGAGCCGGGCCCCACCTGAGACCTTCAGCAGCTGGGTGAGGTGGGGGCGCCGGGCGGTCTCCAGGGTGCCTTGGGCAAGCGCTCAGGCCTCAGCGTCCACCTTGTGGGTGGGGCTGGCTCTGGAGATGAGGGCAGAGGCCTGCCCTTCCGGCTGGCAGAGCAGTGACCCTCGCGGGAGGTCTCTGGCAGGGCCTCCTTCCACGCCTGGGGTCTGTGTGGCCACATGTGGCAGAGGAAGTTGGCTCGGAGCGGCCACATCTGCAGCCAGACCCGGCGAGGGCACCAGAGGAGGGGAGCTGGGGGTGTCTCCCCCGGAGCTGGGGTCGACTGCCAGTCCCCAGGCCCCGCTTTGAAGCACTCAAAGACAAGCCCTTTAATTGTCAGAACCCAAGGAGGCAAACGCTAAGGTCGCCCCACCGCACATGTGGGGGAACCGAGGCGTCGGAGGGCCGCGTAGCCGCGCTGCGGTCGGGGTCTGAAGCCGGTGGCCAGGGTGCAGGCAGGCAGAGCACCCCAGGTTCGCGGTGTGGCAGCAGCGTCCGGGGGCCTGCGCCCCGCCCCCTGGGGAACCCGCGTGGACTGCGGTGCCCGCGCCGGACGGCTCGGATGTCCACCCGGGGGAGGGAGGGGGAGGCGCTTGCACACCGTCCAGGAAAATTGTCCAAACCCCAGAAAGGGGGTGAGAATTCCTCTGGGCACCTGATAACATCATGCCGCAGTGCTGAAAAACAAGGCATCTAACCCCAGGCTCTAACTGCTTGCAAGGGAAACTGAGTCTGGCCAACAGTTGTTACGGAGAGGGGTTGGCTCACCACTGCTGCCGGGTCGGAGGTTAACCTGAGCACAGCTAGGGAGCTGTGGACCGCATTTATTCTGCCTGGTGGAGGAGGGCACCCAGGTGTGGAGGGCCGCCGTCCGGGTGGGGCGCGGGCCAGTTCTGAGCAGCCACGTCTCTTCAGCGCCCTGCTCCGCCAGCCCCACAGCCCTGGTTCATCCAGTCCTCTTACAACAAGCTGTGCATCCTGGGGGTCTGTGCTCAAGGAGCCCGGAAAATCCTCAACCCAGCATTGATGCCTACTGGTGTGAAACTTTCTGTTTGCTTTGTATGTGTGTTCTTTCTTTTATATTTTTTCAGTTATGAAAGTATGATAAGGCATTACAGGAGACTTGGAAAATACAGAACAAGGTTACATGTAGTTCCACTTGCTCCGTCGCTCAGTTGTGTCCAACTCTTCGTGATCCGATGGACTGCAGCACACCAGGCTTCCCTGTCCTTCACCATCTCCCCGGAGTTTGCTCAAACTCACGTTCATTGAGATGGTGATGCCGTCCAAACATCTCATCCTCTGTTGCCCTTTTCTTTTGCTTTCAATCTTTCCCAGCATCAGGGTCTTTTTCAATGGAAAGTTCCACTGTATATTACAGTTATTTTTTAAGTAGGTAAATTAATATTTTCATATGGAGCTTCAATATCAAACTCTCAAAAATTAATTGAATGAATAGAGAAGTAGAAAGATATGGTAGGCCTGAAAAGCCCTATGAACCAATTCAATGTAATTAAGATTTATACAGTTCTCACACAACAGCAGGATACAAATTCTATTCAAATTCCCATAGAGTGTAAACCAGGAAACACTGGAACATATCCAGGGACATAAATCAAGTTGCAAAAATTTTATGATCTAAAGGTATTAAAATCATACAGAGTCCATTCTCATCACTCTGGAATTATGTTAGAGGTCAACATCAAAAGATGTTCGAGAATAACCCACATATTTTCAAGTGCAGTGTGACATTTACCAAGAGAGATCTTTGACTTAGCCATTGGAAGCCTCAATGAAGCTAGAAGACTGAAAAAACAGAAGGTGATTGCAGAGAAGAAAGCATCTAAAATATGAGATGTATGAGATTTTTAAAAATCAATAATTACAGCTTTGTACTGAATACTACCTGAAGCCAGAGGAAATGAACTAGAGGTGCTCACAGAATCACGACTTTCTCTTTAAAACATTGTGAGGGGTGGGTGGGGGGAACCCGCAGCTGGGAGAAAGGCAGAGATGTAACCATATCTATAATATGACCCCACTCCACTCACAAAATGACAGAGCAGATTTTGAAAGAGTACTTAAAGAAAAACAAACAAACAGTCCCAGGTACAACCAGGTCATCAGTGAGGAGACAAAGTCCGCAGACCTGCAGAGTTTCCCACAATTGCACAGTCGGCCAGTGAGATGCGAGGATGTCTCCAACTGCCTCTTCCTGATTTAGGGCGACGACGGAATGCTGACCCCAAGTCCCCTCTTTTCTGGGTGTGAGGTGGTGAAAGCGGGAGTGGGAAAGTGGGGAGTGTTGGAACCACACTGGGTGATTTCTGGGCAGGAAAGGGAGAGGGGGATCTTAATCAACCCAGATCCCTAACCCCAACAATCACACACCCCTTTGCAGGCTTCACTGTGATCCCTTGAGCTTGGTCCGAGATGAGGAAGGAGTGACCGAGGGAGACACTGGAGCGTTCAGCACAGTGGACAGAGGTGTTTGCTCGAAGCTGAGCCGCAGGGAAGAAGACTGCCTGCCGCCCCGCACCCGGGAAGTCTCTCCTCACCACCCGTCTCAGGCGGAAAGAAGTGAAGCCTCGTGGAGACTGTACGCCGCTCTACTGTGTGTGTTGTCGTGTCTGACTCTGCAAACCCAGGGTTGTAGCCGACCAGACTCCTCTGTCCATGGGATTCTCCAGGCAAGAATACTGGAGTGGGTTGCCATGCTCTCCTCCAGGGGGTCTTCCCGACCCAGGGATCGAACCCACATGCCTTATGTCTCCTACATTGGCAGGGGGCTTCTTTACCCCTAGGGCCACCTGGGAAGACCTTTACTGTGTATATGCACAGATAATTCTCTGATAAGACTGAAAAGACAAATATGGCTCTACAATTTTAAATCTTAGCAGACTTTTACGAATGCCAAGTTGCTGGACCACACATCAGACAAACATGGGATTTTAGAACCTGCCCAACTCAAAAGAGGTAAAATGTGAAGAGTATAATTTGAAAAGTTACAGGCACCCTATGTTCATAGCAGCAGTATTCACAATAGTCAAGACGTGGAAGCAACCTAAATGTCCATCAACAGAGGAACGGATAGAGAAGATGTGGTCCATATATACAGTGGAATACTACGCAGCCATAAAAAAGAATGAAAGCATGCCGTTTGCAGCAACATGAATGCAACTGGAGATGATCAAACTGAGTGGATCAAGTCAGGTGAAGACAAATACCAAGTCCACATGATACAACTTATACGTGAAATCTAAAATTTGACACACATGAGTTCGTCTTTGAAACAAAGAGAATCATGGACATATAGAACAGACTGGTGGTTGCAGGGCAGAGGGGGTTGGGGGAGGGCTAAAGTGGGAGGTCGGGATTAGCAGACTTAAGCTTTTATATATAGGATGGATACACAGCAAGGCCCTACTGTATGGCACAGGGAACAATGATAAACCTATGATAAACCATAATGGAAGAGAACTTTTAGAGCATTGAGCATATATATATATATATATATATATATATATATATATATATGAAGAGCTGACTCATTGGAAAAGACCCTGATGCTGGGAAAGATCCAGGGCGAGAGGAGAAGGTGGCGACAGAGGATGAGATGGTTGGATGGCATCACCAACTCAATGGACACGAGTTTGAGCAAACTCTGGGAGATAGTGAAGGACAGAGGAGCCTGGCGTGCTGCATTTCCCGGGGTCGCAAAGAGTCGGACATGACTTGGCAACTAAACAACAGTGATGACAATATGTGTCGAAATAACTGAGTCATTTTGGTGTACAGCCAAAATGAACACAGCATTGGAAGTCAACTATAGTTCAGTAAAAAAGGTTGAAAAAAGTGTCCACACCTTGTTGCCTACCCACTCGTTAAAGGCTAGGCCATGCTGTCCCTTGAACCCTGCATCCTGGCTGCTGTCGGCTTCGGGACCCCAGGACGCGCCCACCTTTGCAGGCTCCAGCTTGGATCAGCTCATACCGCCCCCCCACCCCTGCCCCACGTCACGTGAAGGCGCCGGCAACACCAGCAATGCTTTTCACAGGCTGCCCTCAACATCTTGACCCCTCCTGGACTCCACCGCATTCTGACTCACCAGATTCTCACAGAAATGTGCTCGGGGGGGATCAGCTCAGAAACATCTCTTCCTGACCACGGGTTCCTCTCCCGCTGTCTCTTGGACATCTTGACCCTTCTGATAACACGATTGTCAGCCTCAGCCACCCATCCCTGTTTGAAAAAATCTACCAATTCTCTCCCTTCCCATTCAAGAATTCGATTAGGCCTTTCTTCGGCACCAACAACGCTTGCATCTTTCTCACTAAACTTCTCTCAACATCTGTGACTCCCCCAGGTGGAGTGGGGACCTTCCTATAATGCTGGTGGTACAGCAGAGTGGTACCCTATTGTTAGAGGTAATTTGGAAATATATGCTAAGAACCTCGGAACGGGGACTTCCCTGGTGGTCCAGTGGTTAAGACTTCAAGCTTCCAACACAGAGGGCATGGGTTTGATCCCTGGTCTGGGAATTGAGATTGAAGTAGGAGATAGAAGGGCCCCTGGCCCAGGCAGCTGATATTTGCCA